CCTGATTCAAACTGTGTTTTCTAAACATGCAGAATTTCTATTTTAATCAATAATTTCACTCCTGGAACTTGCTGGGGGTCAGGGCAGCTGCCTCATTTCCCACTGAGCACAATCTCCACGTGCTGCAGTGCTGCTCCTTATCTGCCTCAGGAAGTTAAGGCTCAAAGAAGGGTAATAACTGTAAATTTCTTCCCAGACTGGCTGAAAACAAGATATCTCTGCTGTTGTATTTTTATGAGTACATTTATCTTCAAAAAGGGTGGTATTGACCTGCTGGTTATGGCATGACCTGGCCTTTTCTTGGCCATAATCAAAAGTAGAAGACTGATAATTAATGTAATTTCTAGCACTTTTCAATCCTGGTTATGTCACACGTTTGCCTGGTTGGGTATTTCCCCCCCTGTTTATTTCCCTCCCTGTTTATTTCCATTTTTCCTTTTAGAAAATATTTTTAAAAGCTTTTTTTCCCATTTTTATTTTTTTAAAAAATGATATATTTTCTCTTTATTCCTTTTTTATTATATATTTTTTCTCATTTTTCTTGGGTTTTTTTTTCTTGCTTTTTTCTTATTTTTCCTAATTTTGTGTACTTCTTAAAAGCAAAGTATTCCTTGTCCCTGTGTCACCACACTTAATTTTTACAGTTTCAGCTGTGTTCCAAATAAGAGATTTTAAAATTTTGTTGTATTTTTTTAAACCAAGATCTGAAATAATTTGTGTCCCCATCGAGGTGGTGGAAAATCCCTGGAGGAGCAAGCCTGGCTTGGGAACAGGAGGGTTTGAGTTGATGAACTCCTTGGAAATGGGTGTTGTCATTTTGGAGTTGGGTTCTCCAGGTGGGTTTAGCTTTTCTCAGAGCACAATAATCCCCAGGAGAGTTTAACAGCTTTAAAAATTGGATTAAAATTAAATTAAAAAAAAAATTAATTTAATCTTAAAGCCAGTAATTGATGTTCTCCTGCCTCCAGCCAACCAGAGGCTCCTCTGTAGGTAAAGATAGATTTTATAACTTGGAAAATCTCTGATTTGTACTGAGTTGAGTTGAAAATCCGACACTGACTGTGTTTAAATTGTTTGGATGAAGCAGCATTTGCTTTCTCTTTTATTATAAATTGCTCCCAGGTCTCTCAGCTCTCAGCTCCAGGAGTTTTTGCAGCCCTGCCTGCTGGACTTTGGCCTGACCTGTTCCAGGGCTGTTCCTGGGGTCTTTGCTCTGGGGCACGTCCAGAATCCAAAGAGAACTTTCAATCCTCAGCTCTCTGAAAATGATGGAGGCCACTGCTGCTTTTTTGGCAGTTGCCTGTGCCTGGACCATGAATTTGGGGCTTGAAATTGGAATTGTTGAGGTGCCTGTGCACTGTGTGCTTGTTGACAGGTTTGTTCATTTTGGAGCATCAACCCAAAGCCATTTCATGGATTCTGTGCCAGTTGGTGGCTTTGCTGCAGATCCTGGGTGGGTTTTCTCTCTCCTTTTTGGATAGGGATCCTTAACTCTGTCAGCAGCAGGCAAAGGAAGCAGGTGGCCATCAGGAGGAAGGAGCATTGGGACATTATCTGCCTAAATAATGATGAAAAGATCTAAAAAGGGGCTGTTGTTAAGGATGAACATGAGTGTTAGTGCAAGATAAACTAGGGATAAAATAAGGAAAACAGCACATTGTACAAAAATATTTGTTATATTTAGATTTTCTCCCTGCTAGAGATAATTGTGATATTCCTCCACACATGAACTGTACATTTAAATTTTAATTTAAACTGGGAAATAGCAAAGTTCAAGGGCTCTTTTCCAGCCTGGCTTTCCTTTAGGCTGCAGAGTTTTCCAGCAGGAATTCCAGCTCCTCTTCCCATTAACACTTCTCCATGAGCTGATGCATGGGAGTGAGGACAAAGGGAAGAACCTGCCTGAAAATCTCACTCCAAGTCATTTTCAGTTTTTTAGAGAAACACTTTTGATCCCCATGCAAGAGAGAAATGTCAGTTCATTCCTTCTGCCTGATTTTTCTCTCTCTCCAAATGGAAAGCTCAGCTGGGAAGAGGAGAGGATGGTCCTGGCATTGCCAAAAGTTCTTTTCTGTCTCTGGCTGCACTCTGGGTGATTGGCAGGTTATTGGCAATGGGACCCCAGCCTTTAAGATGAATGATCAGATCTGACTCACACATTTTCCATACTGAAAATGACCTTTGCCAGCAATTTCCTTATGCAAAATATAGACTGGCCTTTTGTATTTAAAAAAAATAAAAATCAAAGGGTAAATATGCAGTCATTGGTTGGTATGTTTATTTTTTAGGAATATTTATTAGGTATGTTTATTTTTTAGGAATATTTTCACCTGTAATTTGACAGGTTATTCAGTAAACAGCATTAAAAAATTCCCAAATATCTGCAGGTTGCATGCATTTAAATTTTTTTAGAGAGTTGTGTCCAAGGAGAGGCAAATTGCTGCTCCAGTCTCTCCAAGTCCTAATGCTTGTGGGGAAATGAATATGTGAGCACAAATGGAAAGTTCTGGGGCTGTGCAGTCACTCTGGGTTTGTGAAACTCCCCCTGACCCCTGGAATATTTTCCTTCCATCTTCCCCCTGAGTACTGGCAGCACTCAAAATTGCTTCCCTTGGGGTCTGAGGGAGTATCCAAAGCTCTCCTCCTCCTCCTTTGTGTTCTCTGTCTTTTAGTACAGAGGGAATGGTTAAAGCAGTTTCATCTTCAGAAAGAGATGGAGAGATTGAAGAAAGGAATGGGAACAATCCAAGGATGCACTTAGCTTTAATGAATTTTAATGGATTTTTTTCAGCTTGGCCCAATATTTTGATTTTATGTCGAATTCCATTTTTTATTTCGTGGCTATTCATCAGATTTCTAAATAAATCTGAAAACAGGGACTGGAACATCTCCAGGGGAAGCAAATTCTTTATCATCCTCCACAAGTCCCTGCCAGGAGGGTGCAGCCAGGTGGGAATTGGGCTCTGCTCCCAGGGAGCAGGGACAGGATGAGAGGGAGCAGCCTCAAGCTGCTCCTGGGGAGGTCCAGATTGGACATCAGAAAGAATTTCAAGCAAGTCCATAAAAATGAACATTCCTAAGACAAAGCATCCCCCCCCAATTCCTTATTTTATGCCAATTTTTAGTGCTAAGGCTTTTATTTTTTTCTTCAGATAGAAACTTAATAAGAGCAAAATGCTAAGGACTTTCTAAATGTAATTTTATTGCATTTATCTCTCCAGTTGAAATTAATTATTCAGAGTCTTCATTAAAAAGAAGCTTTGGTAAGTGACATTTTAAACAGGCCTTCAGAAGTGATTGCAAGGGAGATGCTGATAAAGAACAGTGTCTGAAAGGAAGTGTCAAATACTTGAACATTTTCAACTGGGATGTGAGAACTTGCAGGGCAGCTCTCTGGATAATTTGGGCAATGTAATGAGCACACACACGATGCTGCTGCCCTGGGAGCTGCCAGCACTGCCACATCTCCCTCTTTTATCAAGTTTTTGGGGAGGTTTTGAAATGTTTGGTGCAGAGAAAAGAGATGGAAGTTGTCTTTTTTTCAGAAATAAAAATGTGTGGGTTTTTCCCTTTTGACTGGAAGTGCCCTAAATCCTGATTCTCCAGAGAATAACAGGAAAGCACCAGAAGCCCCCATTTCTTTCTTTCTTTCTGAATTCTGAGCTCCATGTGCCCACGGGGAGCTCTGGCAGAGCCTGCCCTTGCCTGGGATGAGCCCAAATCCCCCAGAGCCTGCCCAGCTCTGCAGCCAGGGGTCCCTGAGGAATCCCAGCAGCACAGGCAGTCCCTGGCAGGGGGAGGCAGGGCATTGCAGCCTGGGGCTTTTGGAGCCAAAAAATCCGGGGTCAAGCATTTTGTTGGTGCCAAAATTGGGATCCATTCATCCTCAGCTCCACGACAGGGCCTTATCTTTCCTTGATGATGGATAATTTGGCACTTGAGGCTTACACAGACATGAGAATGTTCAAGTGTGTGCTCTGCTGCAGCTGAAGGAAATGCACTTGCTATCACCAAATTGGCTTAATTTGTGTTTCAGTAATTAGCCAGGGGAAAATAAATGACCCCCAGTCACGTTTGGGATGTTGGAGCAGTGACAACAAGAACAAGCTGTTTACTGTGGGGAGAGCAAAGGGGAACTAAACCAACATTTCTCAGCCTCAATTCTCCCTGAGCACAGCAGGAACAGTTTAAGTCTGAAATCCACACCTGGGAATATTGAGTGTGGTGTGGCAGTAATGTGAATAATCCCTGCCAACAGCTCAGGTGCCCAGCTGCATGTGGAGACAGTTGTTTGTTCCATATTTCCTTTTGTACTCCAGTGTCAATTTAGCCTGTCTCGAGTTTTCCTTCTCCATTCTCATCAGGAGTGATAAGAGAAGCTTTTTCTGGTTTCTCACACATGAAATGATTTTGGTGTTTGGATTTAGGCTTTTTAATGTGTGAAATCCACACAAGAAGTAGTTTAGTTTTGTTTTTATTCAGTTACAGTCTGGTCCTGTTTGCTCTGATGCTTCTTATGCTGCTCATCTCCCCACCCTGGAGGACAGCACATGCCCTTTAACCATGCTCATTGTCCACTTTTGCAATAAATCCTTTCAAATTCTCTTTTCCTAAGAATTATCCTACTGAAACTGATGCATTACCTTGTAAATTTGCCACAGTACCTCTGCAACCACTCAGATTCTCCCAGAAAGAATTTGGTGGAGCTGTGATTTACACACTTCCCCCTGTGTGTCCTGAATTGATGAATTCCTTCTTGCTTCCCCAGGGGTCGTGGACTTTTATATAATTCCATAGGAGCCATCCATCCTCTGGGAAAATCAGAGTGCTCGAGGTGGTGCCGGTGTCAGCCTCGATGGATTGCCGGCGTCAGCGGTGCCGGGAGAGGGACGAGGCCCAGACCCTCCCTGGATTACTCAAACCCAAACCCTCTTCATGGATTATTTATAAGCTTTGCTCCTTTACATTCCTGTTCCCTCTGTGATTATTTGTTTCTGCAGTGTTGTCCCTCAGACCACGGTGATCCTCAACAACGACCGGCAGAACTCCATCGTGGCCAAGATGGTGGGGCAGGAGGAGCCTCTGAGCAGAGCAGCAGATTCCCTGGAGAACATCCTCAGCAAGTGAGTGCCATTCCCTGGAACCCTCCCTCCTTCCCTCCCTGGCCAGGGCCAGTCTCAAAGGCCAGTTTTTCCCTTCCATTTAAAGGGAAAAATGAGGAATCCTTGAGGGGATTCCTCAAGGAAATCAAGGAACGGGGGAAAGATTGAACCTGGGCTTGGATAGGTTCTCTTGCTTCCCCCTTGGTGGGAGAGAAGATCCTGGAGGAGCTGGGATTATCTCTGGGTTAAGTTAAAGAAGGGTTTCCTATAGCTGTGGATTTTTACATGGATGCACAATCCCTTGGGAACAGGCCAAAATCCTGTATTTAACCAGCTGAAGGAGGAATATTCAATCCAAGCAAAACTTGGAGTATCTAAAGTGAATTTTAAACAAGCAGACCTGGGGATTCTGGGTGGAAAATGGTTGTAATTAATATATTTTTATAAATTACTGGGATATTTCTTCTGTTTTGCACATGGGGCCTAGACTTTTCCATTGAGGCAGATGTAGGAAGTTGATACCTAAGATTTTTTTATTCTTTCTGCTACGTGTGACCCAAAGGGCACAGTCTTAACCTGCACAAAGGGAAATATAGGTTGGATGTTAGGAGAAAGTATTTTACTGAAAGAGTGGTAAAGTATTGGATTCATCTGCCTGAGGAGGTGGTGGAGTCACCATCCCTGGATGTGTTTAAAAAGAGACTGGATGTGGCACTGGGTGCCATGGTTTAGTTGAGGTGGTGTTAGGGCATGGGTTGGACTTGATGATCTTTAAGGTCTCTTCCAACCTGGTGATCCTGTGTGATTTTTATTCTGCTGAATGGCTCCCAGTTCTACAGGAGCAGAGTGATTTAAAGGGGCTGATTTTATCCAACACATTTGTTTTGTCAATTAGTGCTTTTAATTCCCTCACAACAATGTGTGGGGCCATGAGCTGGACTGAGTGACACTGGAATCTGGATATTCCATGCTCATGTTCCTTCTGAGGGGTTGTTCTCTGGAGGTGACCTGCGTTGGTCCTCACAACAATGTGCAGGGCCACAGGGTGAATTCAGTAACGCTTGAATTTGGATATTCCTTGCTCACATTTATGCTGAGGGGCTGTTCTCTGGAGCTGACCTCACAAGAATGTGCAGGGCCATGAGCTGAACTCAGTAACTCTGGAATTTGGATATTCCATGCTCAAGTTCCTTCTGAGGCACTGTTCCCTTGAGGTGACCTGTGTTGGCCCTCACAATGAGGTGCAGGCCCATGACCTGAACTGATGCTGGAATTTGGATATTCCATGCTCACATTCTTTCTGAGGCGCCATTCCCTTAGGGTGACCTGTCTAGGCCCTCACAACGAGGTGCAGGCCCACGAGCTGAACTGGCACTGGAATTTGGACATTCCATGCTCACGTTCCTTCTGAGGCGCCATTCCCTTAAGGTGTTGTCCCTCACAACGAGGTGCAGGGCCGTGATCTGAACTGATGCTGGAATTTGGACATTCCATGCTCACGTTCCTTCTGAGGGCTGTTCTCTGGAGGTGACCCGTGTTCCTTGCCCACAGCGCGGTGCCGGGCCGCCGGCAGAACACCATCGTGGTGAAGGTGCCCGGGCATGACGACAGCCACAACGAGGACGGCGAGAGCGGCTCCGAGGCCAGCGACTCGGTGTCCAACAGCGGCCAGGTGGGCAGCCAGAGCATCGGCAACAACGTCACCCTCATCACCCTCAACTCCGAAGGTACGTGGGCTGCCAAGGGGAGATTTTGCCTTTTTTTTAATGTACATTTTATGTATCCTCAGTACTCGTAGTGTGCATACTTGTAATTCCTTAGGTCTGGTAATTTAGCACAGTCCTGGTGGTGTTTAGGCCTGACATCCTAAAGGCCCCAGAGTGAGGCCTCGTGTGAGGCTGCAGAGCCCTCAGGTGTCTTGAGAAAGCAGTGATGCCTTGAGAGGCTGCCTAGGACAGAGGCTGGACAGTGTTAAAGGAATAAAGTAGGGATTTATTAAAAGGCCTTCAAAGGCTGCACCTTGGGCAATGCAAGAGCCTGGCCAGGGGGTTGGGCTGTGCTCCAGGGAACAGGGACAGGAGCAGAGGGAGCGGCCTCAGGCTGGGCCAGGGCAGGCCCAGGTCCGACATCAGCAGGAATTTCCCCATGGAAAGGGGGGTCAGGGATGTGAACTGCCCAGGGAGGGTTGCAGTGCCCATCCCTGGAGGTGTCCCAGCAATTCCTGAGGTGGCACTCGGTGCTCTGGGCTGGGGACAAGGTGGGGACTGGGCACAGCTTGGACTCTTATCCTGGAGGTTTTTTCCAGCCTCAGTGATTCCAGAATTTATATTGCTCTGTGAGCTATGCCAGGAGCAAAGCTGCCAGCACCAGGAAGATGTTTGTTGTGTAATTCCCTTTCTGCCTTGGTGTGGCACAGATTTGCACAGACAAATGTGATGTTTGACCCATTGATGTGCATGTAAATTCTGAAGAAACACCTAATCCATTAATGTCTGCAGATCTGATTTCCCTCAGACCTCTGGAACACTCATCCATTCAAAATCTCTGAGATTGATGAATGCTTTGAGGATCAGATCAGTGACCCCCCTCCACCTGCCCTTGCCCTTGCACGGGATGGAATTGCTAAGTGACTTTACCTGCAGGGTGGCACAAATTCAATTATTAATAAAGGAAAAGATGGAGAATAACAGGGCTGGTGTGCAGGGAGAGGCAAAGTCACAGCAGCCCTTGGCTTTCATCAGCTGGGGCAGAATTCCAGGTGACTCTGAGGTGTGCAGAGGTAAAACCAGGATGGAGATCCCAGCCCAGGACTGAGACCAAACACCAGGTGTTCAGGACAGCTCCACTCTGTCATCCTGGCTCTGGAAAGCACAACTGAACTGTGCTTAGAGTTGAGTTTGTCTGACATTGAGCTGTGGATATTTCCAGGATTTAGGGAATGGATTTCTGTAAAGGCACTCATTGCTCTCTGCTGGCTTTCATGTGATTGTGATCATTTAAAAATTAGTGTTATTGCATTTCTATCCCTAAAAAATAATGATTCAGAAGCTTTGAGCCCAGTTCCAGTAATGGTGTAGAACAAGGCTGGTTTTTTGCTGACTGAACACTGTGACTTCAATCCACGTGTTTTTTAAAATCCAGTTAATTTTGGCATGCTTGTGTTCTTACTGGGAGTTCTGGATTGCAGCATCTTCTCACTTCAAACACAGCACTACTTTTATTTAATTGTGAACATTCTAATTAGGCTTAAAAACAATGAGCTTTGTACAGTTCAGTGTCTTGTGCAGAGCAAGGAGCACAGGAAGAGCTTTTTTAGTTTCACTGACACACCTTGGAGCAGGAGAGCCATTAAGTGTTATACACTAAACATGAGGAAATGTCTTTTATAGTGTTTTGTTTTAGAGGTTTATTTTGTAATGGTTTATTTTATAATGGTTGCATGGGATGGATGTAATTGGCCCAGTGTTATTTTCCTCTTCACTTTTCACACACTGCCCTTGCACCTTCAGGGTGGTAAGAGCAGGAAAAGTTTGCTCTGTTCAGTTCTTTTGAGACTCTTTTCCTGTGCTTTCCAGAGTTCTTGTGCATTTTGAAAGTTCTGAAGATTCTGAATGCTGCAGCTGGTCCTTAGTGCCCTCCTTGCACAGAACTTCATTTGTGAATCAATTCTTTGGGCCTTCATGGCTCTGAAGACGTGGGATCATGGAATGATCATGGAATGATTTGGGTGGGAAGGGACCTTAAAGCCCATCCAGTTCCAGCCCTGACACCTTCCACTGCTGCTCCCAGCCCTGTCCAGCCTGGCCTTGGGCACCTCCAGGGATGGGGCAGGCTCAGCTGCTCTGGGAAATCCATTCCAGGGCCTCCCCAGCCTCACAGGGAGGAATTCCTTCCCAATATCCCATGTAACCCTGGTGTGAAACCATTCCCTGTGTCCTGTCCCTCCTGTTTCTCATGCAGAGAGCCCCAGGCTGGAAATGTGACCGTGTATTTTTGGAGCAGATAAGGGAAGACTGGGTGTTAATTAAGGGATGACTGATGTTTTTTCCAGAGAAAACTCCTCAGTCACATCTTGTCTCCTCAACTTGGCATCTGAAGCAGTCATTTGATAATGGCAGCATTAAGCAGCACTCAGGATTTGCTTTCCAAGTGGGAATCCAGGCAGCTCTGTGTCCCAGACTTATCTGTGCACAGGATTTTCCAGCTCAGGCAGGCTCAGATCTCACCCGTGGGATGAGCACTTGGAGCTCTTTCCTGCCAAGCTGCTCAGGACAGGCACAGACAGTGAGAGGAGCTGGAGCAGGGCAGGAGTGAACCTTTTGTACCCTAAAACACAATGATGTGCTGCTGATGTGGAGACACTGATGAGGACTGGTGAAAGCCAAAGAAAATGATAAAAATTGAATTGCTTTGGGTTTTTTTTTTCAATTATTGGGAGCCAGCAGATGAACAAGTTTCTTGCAGGTGTCTGCCACAAGGATATTTGCAGTTAACGCTGGCCCATCTCCACCCAAATCTAACAAAGATATACTAAACAAGGAAAAAAGGGCAAAATCCACATTAGAAATCTGATTTTCTGATGTGAAACACATTTTCCAAGGTTTTAAAAAAGCCCTTTGAGTCCATGGGTTTTAATTCTCTGAGGGTTTTTTGGATCTTTTTTTATCTGAACTTTTAATCTGATCACATCCTTCCATGAGTCATAAAGTAAGGGAATCTCTCTTGGATTTCACCAAAACTGAGCCTTATTCTTAACAAATGAATGATGCCTCACTGATGTTGTGCTGAGGCTGAAGAACCTGTGAGTGCAGGGGCTGTTCCCAAAATTCCTCCTGCTCCTGGATCCACAGGGAGTGAGCTGGGACTGGGTCTCCTTCAGCCACAGCCTTTGTGGAATATTTACCTGGAGCACAAATTCTTCTGGGTTTGCTCTGAAACAGGGCAGTGTTAGGTGGGATACTGGGAAGGAATTCCTGCCTGTGAGGCTGGGGAGGCCCTGGAATGGATTTCCCAGAGAAAACTCATAAGAAATCAGTAAATGTGATTTTCTGTGGCTGCCCCATCCCTGAAGTGTCCCAGGCCAGGTTGGACAGAGCTTGGAGCACCCTGGGATGGTGGGAGGTGTCAGGGCTGGAATTGGACACTCTCCAATGTCCCTTCACCCAAACTATTCCATTATTTTTCTTTGATATTCACAAGGAAATGAAACCTTTCTTTCTCCCCACTAGAACAGTTGAGTGAAAAACTCCAGCTCTGTGCCCAGGCCATGTGTGCTGTTCCTCAGGCACAATTCCCAGTGCCTGAGCTGCATTTTGTGCTGGAGGAGGTTGTGCTGAATGTGACTTTAGAGCTCTTTAACCTTTCTTTTAGCACAGCTTTCAATTCCACTGCTGCATCTGGAGGTGAAGTTACAGCCTGGTTGTCCCTCCCTTCCACAGACTTAATGATTTTTAATTAATAAAGTCAGTGCTCTGGAGTCTCTGCCAATTAATCACTGCCCCTGTGAACTTCTGCTAATTGACAGGAGCTCATTAAAAGATCACAGAATCATGGAATGGTTTTGCTTGGAAGGGACCTTGAAGCTCATCTCGTTCCAACCCTCCACATGATGCTGATGTTGAATCTTCTATACATCAGCCAAAACATTATTTAATTTCTCTAGAAATGAAGGTTTATTTTTGTAAGTTAGGATTTGTTTTTTTGGGGTTTATTTTAATTTTTTAAAGATTAATTCATCTTTCTGCCTCTCTGCACCTACCAGTCTTTTGCTGCCACTGCCAACTTTGCACCCAGCCTTGAGAGTAAAATAAACACAACTTCTTGAAGTGATGGAACATGTTAATTCCAGTATTTCTGTGGGCAGGTGTTTCCTTTTGTTTTCCCTAGTTTTAAAGGAATGACTGACAGCTCCTGGGGCTAGAGCAGAGCCTGGCTTTGCTTTCAAGCTCATGTCAGACCAGGGGAGCCTATCCCAATGGAAAAATGGAACAGCTCAGTGTCTGTCACTTCCCTGGGTGGGAGAGCACGGCCAGAGCAGCCCCTGTCTGGTTTTTGTTCTCTTGACAGGGCTTTTTTTTGCTGCTGACCCCACACTGGCTCCTCCTGTTCCCAGAGAATTCCTTGTTTGCGTGGCAGCACGTCCCAAACAGGGATGGAGGGTCAGCTGTGCTGGGAGATAAAAGAAATGCAGCAAAAAAGAGTCAAAACCAGCACTGGAAAGCAAACTGGGTTCAGTAGAATGGAGATAAAGGCAAATTTTGTGATGTTGAAAAAAGGGGAACAATGGAGAGGAACTAGAAATTGGTGTGGGGGGAAATGGGGCTGGGAGTGCAGAGAGGGACTCTGATAAAGCTGGCAGGGCTTTCTGCACTGGGAGGAGAAATGAGCAGAGGTGATCTGATATTGGTGTAAAAAAGGGCAAGGAAGCTCCTTTCTCCTGAAAGGGCAGCAGGGTCCTCAGGAAAATTCACAGAATCAGGGAATGGTTGGAAGGGAGCTCTGGAGGTCACCCAGTCCCAGGCAGGTGGGTTTGGGATGTGGCCAGAGGAGGACACCCCACATTGTCCCTGGGCAGCTGTGCCAGGGCTCTGCCACCCTCCAGGGAATGGAGTTCTTCCTCAGTTAATTAATTAGAGAAAGAAAACTAGGGCAAAATGAGAAGGTGTGTGAAGAGCTGAGCCCCAGGTGAGTGTGTGCAGTTGTGCTTCACTGAGCTGAAGGGAAGGGAGTTCTCTGAGTGTTCTCACTGAGCTGAAGGGAAGGGAGTTCTCTGAGTGTTCTCATTGAGCTGAAGGGAAGGGAGTTCTCTGAGTGTTCTCACTGAGCTGAAGGGAAGGGAGCTCTCTGAGTGTTCTCACTGAGCTGAAGGGAAGGGAGTTCTCTGAGTGTTCTCACTGAGCTGAAGGGAAGGGAGTTCTCTGAGTGTTCTCACTGAGCTGAAGGGAAGGGAGCTCTCTGAGTGTTCTCACTGAGCTGAAGGGAAGGGAGTTCTCTGAGTGTTCTCACTGAGCTGAAGGGAAGGGAGCTCTCTGAGTGTTCTCACTGAGCTGAAGGGAAGGGAGTTCTCTGAGTGTTCCCTTCCTCCCCAGCTGACACTGGCTGAGTTTTTGGACACCTTTAAGGAGCAGCAGCAGCAGCAGCAGGGTATGGCTGTGCAGTGCTGGGGGGTGGAGTCTGCCTTTTACATGCATGCACTAAATAACCTATCCCACCCAGATATCACCTCTAAAGCCTGATAATGCACCTCAAGAGCCATTCCACATGCCTTAAAGGATGTTTCAGTGCTGGGAGCTTCCAATGATCCAGATTTAGTCAATACTGTTTATGTATTTAATTGCTCAGAGGGAATTTCCACCCAATTCCCAATTCCCAATCTGTTTTCTCCTGCCTTATCCATTCTCCTCCACCTCACACCACAGCTCAGGGTGTTTGTGCCTCACTCAGAACTGGCCCTGGATTTCCTCTTTCCAGCAGATTTTTGGGTGCCAGTTCTGTGTTTGCTCCCTGCAAAGTGCCGGATGTGTTGGCAGCCTGGCAGGAATGATTTTGATCTAAAAAAAGGAATAATTCAGCTTTTGTGCCCTCACAGAGCTGCAGTGGATTCATGGTTAACTTCAGTCATGCTTAATGCAAAATGGTTATAAAATAAATTCCCTTTCTGTTTGAAAGGAGGAGGAAAATGCAAGAGATAATTTAGTGGGGGGATTGTGGTCATAGGTCAGAATAACAAGATAATGTCTTTTTTTCCAGGCTGGGAGCAATAAAAGAACAGTTGCATGTGGTAAAAACAGTATGTTCTGGACTCTGTGCCAGCAGAAAAAAGAGAGGATTTTGCAAATTGAACAAAATCTTTGCTTCGTGTAGGTTAACAACGTTTGTTAAAAAAGTCTGCAGGCAAAAGGTGTTCCATAAGGAATAAAAATTCCTATATCCAACAGCAATCCTGTGAGCTGTAAGGCAGCAAGGCTGTGATAGGCTGGAGGATAATTTATTCAGGCTTCCTAGAATTTCTTTGAAAAACATACACATTGATCCAGAGATGTTTTTCCTTCGCCAGATCTGCCCAAATTTTTCTAACCCAGTCCATTTATCTTGAGGAACAGCCTGTTGTTTTCCCTGATAATGGTAACCAGACTTGTGGTGAGGCCAGACACAGTGGCATGCAAAACAAGGCACAACTCATCCAAACCACTTTATTTTTCAGATGGCACCTGGTACTGGGAGCAGAAAGCAGCCAGTGTGACCTATCCTGGCTCAGGATAAAAAAAGAAAGGATCCAATTAAGGCAAAAAAATACAAACATTTTGCAAGTGTATAAAAATGTATTCAGGATAGGGCACGAAGTTCTGATTTCAGCAGGAAAAAAATTTGAGGGATGAGTTGCTACATATGTCAATAATAAATAGTTTTCCTTGCAAGTTACTGAACATAAGGAAGAAATTCTTCCTGTGGGGAGGCCCAGGGTGCCCAGAGCAGCTGTGGCTGCCCCTGCATCCCTGGCAGTGCCCAAGGCCGGGCTGGACAGGGCTTGGAGCAGCCTGGGACAGTGGAAAGTGTTCCTGCCCATGGCAGGGGTGGAGGAGATGAATTCTGAGGTCCCTTCCAGCCCAAGCCATTCCCTGGTAGTGTGGCTGTGCTCGTGCTGATAATCTGCTGCTCTCAGTGATAAATCAGGATTGCACAACCCAACGTTTGCCTCATCCTGTCGTTACTCAGCCTGCGAACTTGGCCCTGACATGTGGGGTGACTCAACCCAAAGGTCGTGCTGGAAAAGCAGCTTGGAGTGTTTGGAGTTGCTTTTATGTCCTATTTTATTGAGTTCTTCTGGCTTGTAGTCTGATAAAGCCCAGGGCAGGGTTTGGATATGCAGATGCTGCTTGCTGTGGGTGCTGCTCGGTGTGAAAAGGAAACGCTGTTTGACCTGAGCTCTGTCACCTCCTTGGGGGACTGGCAGGGTTATGGAAACCAGGAACTGGTTTATTGTGTTTATTTTTGTCTACATACAAAACTCTGCTGTAAGACCACTTAATGAAAGAAAAGTCATTAATGTAATTGTAGCTGAATGCTGTTCACAATAAATTACTGGGAAGCTCTCTGTGGAAGGGCTGAGTGACCCCTCAGTCAGCAAACCTTGTTTTACTCCACAGTTGAGCAAACATAGAAATCAAACCCAAATGGTCCATGTCAGTGGACACTGAAATATTGCTGGAGTGTTTCCTACCCTGCTCCAATTAGCAGTGTGAGGAATTCTGGAGGTTTGGTTTATGTCTGCAATGGGAGTCTCATCCTTGGCTGTGTGTTCCATCCTCCACTTGAGGTAGGGTTGGTCCTGAGCTCTGTTCCAGTTTCTGGTTAGTCTTGAATCCATCAACTTTTGGCATTGTCTGCACAGGTTAATTGAAGTGAGGGCCTAATACTCCTTTGAATTCAATTTATTTATTTAATTAAATCCCTCATGTTCCCCTGCCAAACTGGGAAAGAAATAAAAAAGCTTCTTAATATATTGAGTGTGTGTGTAGGTAGGTATAGCTGTGGCACTGATGATCTTATATTTGAATAAGAGGGAAGATGATTAGTGATTGAATAATTATCCTTCTGCTGGGCCTGTTCCTTGGGAAACTATTATTTAGAAAATAATATAGCCAGTAAATATGAGGAAAAACCCAAATTATATTTAGGATCTCTGGTTACATCCTAAATTATTGTAATTGCTTGATGTACTCCTTTTAAATGATTAAACAGGTTAGTGCTCACTATTGATTATAATTTCCTAAATCTATAATCTTGCTTAACTTTGCTTTAATCTCATGGGTTTGGGGTTGGGGAAAAATAAGGTTTAAAGCTGTTGATTGCTTGAAATTTGCTGTGCTTTGAGAATATCCCAGAGCTGTAGTAACCTTCATTTTTATGGGATGAGAGCACTGGGCCTGGAGTGGTTTCTCAATAAAAGAGATCTCTGAGAGTGAGCTGGACACCTGGACTGGCCTCACCAGTTGCTGTGTGGGTCAGAACATGAACAACAATAACTTCTGGTCACTGCTGGGTGAATTTGGGTTTCTTTCTCTCAGTGGCCATCACGATCCCGCTGCGCTCAGGAGGCAAACTGGGGGAGAGGATGCAAACTTGAGCAATCTTGGCTGTGTGCTGAGCCTGCCTCCTGCTCACCCTTGCCCCCATGTGTGTTTCAGAGGATTATCCTGGCCTGTGTTCCTGCTCAGCCTTTGCCTCATGTGTGTTTCAGAGGATTTTCTCAGCCTTTGCCCCATGTGTGTTTCAGAGGATTTCCCCAGCCTGTCTCCCTGCTCACCCTTGCCCCATGTGTGTTTCAGAGGATTACCCCAGCCTGTGTTCCTGCTCACCCTTGCCCATGTGTTTTTCAGAGGGTTACCCCAGCCTGTTTGCATGTGTGTTTCAGAGGATCACCCAGCCTGTTTCCATGTGTGTTTCAGAGGATTATCCCAGCATGTCTCCATGTGTGTTTCAGAGGATTACCCCAGCCTGTGTTCCTGCTCACCCTTGCCCATGTGTTTTTCAGAGGATCACCCAGCCTGTTTCCATGTGTGTTTCAGAGAGTCACCCCAGCCTATTTCCATGTGTGTTTTAGAGGATTACCCCAGCCTGTCTCCCTGCTCACCCTTGCCCCATGTGTGTTTCAGAGGATCACCCCAGCCTGTTTCCATGTGTGTTTCAGAGGATTATCCCAGCCTGTCTCCATGTGTGTTTCAGAGGATTTTCTCAGCCTTTGCCCCATGTGTGTTTCAGAGGATCACCCCAGCCTTTGCCCCAGTGTGTTTCAGAGGATCACCCAGCCTGTTTCCATGTGTGTTTCAGAGGGTTACCCCAGCCTTTGCCCATGTGTGTTTTAGAGGATCACCCCAGCCTGTTTCCATGTGTGTTTCAGAGGATCACCCAGCCTGTCTCCATGTGTGTTTCAGAGGATCACCCCAGCCTTTGCCCCAGTGTGTTTCAGAGGATCACCCCAGCCTGTCTCCATGTGTGTTTCAGAGGATCACCCAGCCTGTTTCCATGTGTGTTTCAGAGGATCACCCAGCCTGTTTCCATGTGTGTTTCAGAGGGTTACCCCAGCCTGTTTCCATGTGTGTTTCAGAGGATCACCCAGCCTCTCTCCATGTGTGTTTCAGAGGGTCACCCAGCCTGTCTCCATGTGTGTTTCAGAGGATTTCCCCAGCCTGTCTCCATGTGTGTTTCAGAGGATCACCCAGCCTGTTTCCATCTGTGTTTCAGAGGATCACCCAGCCTGTTTCCATGTGTGTTTCAGAGGATTACCCCAGCCTGTTTCCATGTGTGTTTCAGAGCATCACCCAGCCTGTTTCCATGTGTGTTTCAGAGGATCACCCAGCCTCTCTCCATGTGTGTTTCAGAGGATCACCCAGCCTGTCTCCATGTGTGTTTCAGAGGATTTCCCCAGCCTGTCTCCATGTGTGTTTCAGAGGATCACCCAGCCTGTTTCCATGTGTGTTTCAGAGGATTACCCCAACGGGACGTGGCTGGGTGACGAGAACAACCCCGAGATGCGCGTGCGCTGCCCCATCACGCCCGCAGACATGCTGCACATCAGCACCAACTGCCGCACGGCCGAGAAGATGGCGCTGACCCTGCTGGATTACCTCTTCCACAGGGAGATCCAGGCCATCTCCAACCTCTCGGGCCAGGGCAAGCACGGCAAGAAGCAGCTGGATCCTCTCATGATCTACGGGATTCGCTGTGAGTGAAACCGGGGACTTTGGTGTGTTGGTAAGGCAGACATGGAGGGGTTAAATGAGATTTTAAGAGTGTGTTTGATGTGTGGTGAGATGTTCTGGTGGCTTTTGTTTATGAAGAAGGTTTAGGGGTTTTAGGAAGAAATCCTAAAGGGCTGGTTTACTTCAGCTGGTGGGTATTCACCAGAAATTCCTCAGTCTTTTATTCTGAATTCTGACATCCGTGCAATCGCCAGCTGTGAGTATAGTAAATATTGCAGAAATAATTAGTAACACAAATTCCAGTACTGTTCAAGTGCTCAGACCAGCATGGTCTTGAACTGTCGTTTTTGACTTCCCATTTATGTCTCTTTTTTCAAAAGACTTGCTGAGATTGTGATGGGAAAAGTTGGCAACCTCAGAATCATAAAATCTGGGTTCACAGCAGGAATGGCAGGACGCTGTTGGATTTCTGTCTGCTCCATGTGCACCAGTCTTTGGATTATTTAAGCTGTTATGGAGCTGTGGACTGATATTATTTGTGTTAAAGGCACGATATTTGTTAATTTAAAAGGAATCAAATGTGGTTTCATGTAGAACAAAGGCACAGCCACTGGTTTGAAATGAAAAGAGGAATCTGGACGTGAGCATCGTGTTCTGCTGTGGTGACTGCTAGTGAATACATTGAGGACAGCCAAGTCTGTTCCCTGTGCTTTATTTCCAAGAAATTAGCATAACCAGGGTTTTGGGAGAAGTTTCTTCTGCCAGGTGGTGGTTGAGCACTGCAGTCAGGGAATGGGCACGGCCCTGAGGCTGCCAGAGCTCCAGGAGTGTTTGGACACCATTCCCAGGGACAGGCTGGGATTGTTGGGCTGTCTGGGCAGGCCCAGGAGTGATCCTTGAACTGGATTCTAATAAACCTGGAGCTCTTCTTGTTACCAGATTCTTGATATAGCCACATTTTGTGTAGTCATCAGTGGATCTGGAGTGGGAATAATTTGTCCTCCTGGTGAGTTTTGTATGGAATTGGCAATTTGAAACTCCAGGTAAGGCTTAGGAAGAGGTCAGCAAGGGATTATTTGGGGTGGTGTTTGGAGAAGTGGCTGTGGGATAGTTACAGGGAAGGGAATGTGAATGGTGTTTGGTGATGGCAGGAAACATGTTCCTCTTATCTGCTGCTGTTTTCAGTGGTTTTCAGGCCATTTTTGGGGAAGTTGAAAACCAAATCTAACCCACTCAGGTGGCTGCATTAGGGCAAGTTTTGCTTCATTATTTACCTGAAGCAGAAGACTTTGGGCTTCTTTTACAAACATATTAAATATGTATTTTTAAGAGAGATGGCAATTCAAATTAATGCTGATCTCCAAAGCCTTCTTGTCTGCTGATCTCATCAGTGTCAACGCTGTTGCTATTAAAACATAGATTTTTGTTAAAAGCTTTTAGAAACACTAAGAAATGGATCTTGCACCAGTGTTAAAGCAATTCCCAGGCAGTTCTTTTCCCATCCCTCAAATCTGAGAGCACAAATCACATGGGTCAGTTTGTAACTGGTTGTGGAGGAAGATGTTTGCCAATGTGAGCATGGGGAAGGAATGTGTCCATGTGACCAAGAGCTCAAGCTGGGGATTATGTCATTTCTGTGAGGCATTCTGACCATGAAAATACTGGATTATGGAAGTAAAATACTGGATTATGGAAGTGATCCCTGCAGCTGGAGAAGGTCTGGAATGGCACAGATGTGAGAGCAGGGGATCATGAGCAGCAATCCGTGTCTGACTTTGGTGATATGAGCATGGTTTGGGATCCAGGTATCTGAAACAACTTCACTCCTTCCTGCTGTTGGCTGCTGTGTTGTTTTCTTTTGGGAGCCAGGCCATAAAAAACTAGGGATTTCTGGAAAAAATAGACCCTGTGTGGATCTGGCCAGAGAAGTCTGGTTTGGGCAATGAAATGTTGATCTGCTACCAGCAAGGACAAAGAATCCTGTGGCAACCAGCAAAGAAAACACAGGAGAACTTGATGGAGCAGCAAATGTAACAGTGAGAACAGTGGTCCAGGAATGATGATTTCACTTAATAACCTCATGTGTCATCACTGGCAGTAATTAAGTGGGAGTGGAGCTGGATTCAGAGCCTGGTGAGGAATGTGGAGCTCTCAAGGATGGGATTGTGCCCACGCTCAGAGCTTGTGTGTGCCATGATTCCATCCCTGCCTGGGCAGAGCCCTGCCATCCCAAATCCCCTTCCCTGTCCACACACATCTGCTTTTCATCCCTGAGGTGTTCTCCCAGAAAATCGCCCCAAACCCGAGTGTCCCTGGTGTGGGAACCCCCTCAGGGCTGCTCCCCACGGTGGGATTTGCTTCTGCTCTCAGCCAATGATGCTTTGATGACTTAATTCAACCAGAAATGAAAAATCCAATGTCATCAGCCTGGCCTGTGCCAGTGACAGCCAGAGGAGCCCAAGGAAATAGAAAGGATTTTGTTTTTCCTTTCGTTTCAAGTTTCTTGCAGTTTGTCAGTGCAAAGATATTCCATCTTTTTTTTTTTTTTCTATAAGAAAAACACCAAGCAAATCTGTATTTAATAAGAAAGTATTTTGTGTAATATGCAGAAAGTATAGAAAATGAAGAGCTGTGTGTTTATTAAAAATTCTTGATGCTCTGCACTGGGTTTACCACAAGAGGAGAGGAAAGTTTATCTTTGGAAGTCTAAATTTTCACTTGTGGTAGGAATTTGCTTGTGGGGTGGCAGTGGTACTGAGGAGAGCTTTTGGGCAAGAAACCAGAATGATTTAAACACAATCTATGTCATTAAATAGCTCATTACCTCAGCCCTGCTAAAAATGGAGAGTTTTGCTGGTGAAATACAATCCAAGAACATCCTCAGTTGTAATTTTCTTTGCCTAACAGAAAATACAGGTTTAGGTCTTTGGAGATTTTACAGCAATTTCCACGAGCAAGTTGGAAAAAACAGATCCCCAAATTCAGAATTTTGCAGTTATAAGAAATGGTGTAATAGAAAAGATGATTTTCCATGGCATGCTGGAAAAAATGGAGAGGGGATTTCTGAAGCTCAGAAAAGAAAATTTATCAGTCATTCTTATTCTTCAAAATGATCAAAGCAACTAAATGAAAACTAAATAAGATTAGTTACTTATAATGTATATACACATATGTTATATATTATTGTGTGTAACTTTGTGTATTATTTCTGTGCAAGCCCCTTGCTCTGCCCATGGGTTTTTGCAGATTTTCACCAATCATTTTCCCACTTATTTGTCAGTTCTGGTTAATTATTCCACGAGGATGGAAGATCAGAACCTGCACATTTAATGCAGAATTTCTGGCTGGGTGGAGGAAGGAGATCCAAACTCATGAATTGCATTAGGGGGAACCTGTGCCCTTGTGTTATTGGACCCCACAATTCTTATTTGGGCTCCAGACAGCATCTGTTGCTCAGGGAATGATTTCTGCACGTGGAAATAATTCTCTTGTTAGGGACAGGATTGTTGCTGAGAAAAAAAAGAACTCAAAAGCTTCAATCCCCCACCTAAACCCTCCAGTGCTCACAAAGGGGAGGCAACTGTGCTGAAAAATTTGGGTGAATTTTCCCATCTGCTTCCACTCTCATAGAGTGAATTTTCCCATTTCCCTTTAATTTCATCCAGAATGCATCCCTGTCTTTTAAATACCATAAAACAAAGTGTTAGCTGAGAATACCCAATGATAAAATCTGATTTTTAACTCTGAATGATGCATTTTCTGCTTCAAATGCCAAATAACTTCACTTTTTAAGCCACAAAAACACAGCACAGAAAGAAATCCCTCATCAAAGCTTGCTGCTCCTGCTCTATAAAACATTTCTTGCAGTAGGGATGGGAGCACTTCTCCTACTGCAGGAGTTGAAAGAGATGTTAATACACTCTGAAAGGACTTGTGTCCTCAGCAGAGGCCAAATGGAATTAAACACTGGCTCTGCTTCCCAAAAATCCACACACCAGCTCTGGAGCTGCAGCCCACACACGGCTGCTTAATAGGAACCACATTTGGCTGTGGAATTGATGGCAGTGGGATGAGTTTATGTATGGAGAGAGAAAGAGAAATAGGAATAGAAATAGGAATAGAAATAGGAATATTGCTGCCCACAGCCCAGGCAGGTTGGGCTGCTTGGAGCTGCCTCTGGTGGCGTGGAAAACGTGTGGGGAGCTCAGCACTGCTGCTCCAGCTTTTCATGGGGAGCCTGAGCTTAATAACAGCAGGATAAACACAAATAGATCACATTTCTGTCCTTCTTGGGGATTATCCTGCTTGCAAATACTGGAGGAAGGGCAGGAAGTTCTCATGGATGAGCTGAGCTCAGATGTTTCTCACCAGAGGATGTTTTGTGGGACAGTCCAGGCTGGTGCTGTTTTTTAAGATGTTTATCATGGAATCCTGGAGTGGTTTGGGCTGTGTGCAGCCATTCTTTATAGTTGGATTTTATATTTATGTATTTATATTTGTATGTTCAGAATGTATTTATATTTGTATGTTCAGATTTATATGTGTATTTATAGTTGTATGTGTATTTATAGTTATATGTATATTTATAGTTATATGTGTATTTATAGTTATATATGTATTTATATTTATAGTTATATTTTAAAGATCCAGTGCCACCCTCTGCCATGGCAGGGACACTTTCCACTGTCCCAGGCTGCTCCAAGCCTTGTCCAGCCTGGCCTTGGACACTTCCAGGGATGCAGGGGATTCTCTGGGAATCCATTCCAGGGCCTCTTCACCCCTCCCAGGGGATGATTCCTTCCCAAAATCCCACCTAACCTGTCCCTGGGAGTGGGAGGCCATCCCTTGTGTCCTGCCCCTCCAGAACCCTGGAAATAATTCCTCTCCAGCTTCTGTCTCCTTCAGGTGCTCTAAAACATTGCAATTCCTGAGGACATGCTCTATAAATATAGAATATTATCAATGTTTTCTATTCTTTCACTTTCCCACCTCTAAAAGCCCTTTTTATGACTGCATTTTTAT